TACTTAAGTTAAGTTTTCTTTGTCATCATTTCTGTCGTTAAGTTTTACCTTGCAAGTAAATAAAACCGAGTAATTATCATTCTGTGTTTTCTCCTTCAACTTATCACAGCAATAGTAACAACAATTAGGTAATCATTGGCTGTCGCGGGCCAGATTGATGACAGTAAATCATTGGCTGTCGCGGGCCGGATTTGGCCCGCGGGCCGTAGTTTGGAGACCCCTGATTTAGAGAATAAAATTTAAATGGCAAAATTTATGCTCACATGCTAGAAAGATCTATCGAACCTCGGACAGAAATTCGAATACTCACCATCCACACTGACCCTCCGCTCCCGGGCAGGCAACCGTTCTCGGAGTACTGCAGGCCGAAATAATCTTTTTCTACGAGCTCCAGATGCTGATACACCTGCTCGAGGAGAACGGCTCCTTTGACACGTTTTTCAATGTGAAAAACGTGCTCGGTGTCATCCAAGAATCTCACCGTCACGCTGAGACCTTTCAGTTTACGTTCCCTTGCAGCAGCCAGCTCTAAAGCGTGAACATTATAAGTGCCACTTGATCCACTGAATGCCCTCTTTGAAACGCTTTCGATCATTCTCACAAAATAAAAAGGCTATCGAAATGCTCAGCTTTATCGACATGCTAGAAATACAAAAGGAAGATGTTAGTGAAATATTTCATCTCAACTTTCGATGTACTCCAAAATTACATTATATAATTGTATAATCCAACCCCATTCTGATTATTGTGCTAGTATTTTATACTCATTTGACCAAAATAAGGTATCGGCTTTAGAAAAGTTACAGAATCGTGGAATGAGAATTATTTCACAAGTGAATAATTAAGTACATTGCAGTGGCTGTCTGTTTCCCAGAGACTGTACGAGTTAGCAATGATATTCATTTTCAAACTAACACATAACTTGCTTCCAATTCATTTTGAAGAATTCTGTATATATAAATCTCGAATCCATAACCACTTAACAAGAGCGAGTAGCTCCCAAAAATTCCACCTTCCTCAAACTAATTTGACTGGTACGATGAAGTCTTTATTTTATAAAAGTTTGAATGAGTATAACAAACTTCCACTTTCGTTGAAAGATTCAATAAATCTTTTCCATCGTTCCCATTTTTGGTAAAATTTTCAAATTAATCCTGAAAAAGGCTATACCTCTATTTAGAAGGAAATAATCTTCTGAACACTAACCAATACGGTTTACGAAAGTCCTGCTCGACACTGTGACTTCAGTGAAGCATTTGACTGTTTCTCATATCAATTTGTTACTTTAACTGGAAGAATAGGGAGACAGAGGTGTGGCACTTTCACTTTTCTTATCGTATTTGATGAATAGAAAACGGCTGGTTGATCTAAGCAATAACAGAATATCTGATCTACAGTCGATTGAGTTCGGAGTTCCTCAAGGATCCGTGCTGGGACCTCTTCTATTGATAGTTTATATAAACGATCTCTTCTATGAACTGTTACCTTACACATGTGTCATTTATGCTGATGACACATCGATCTTGTGCTCTGACAACAACTGTCAGAATCTGCTTCCAGCCATGACACTTGCAGAAAGACAAACTGAATTGTGGTTCAATTCAAACTTTCTCAAACTCAACAAGAAAAAAACACAAAAAATAATTTTCTCGACTTATAATATTTCCGTTTGCCTAATCAGCTCTTCGGTACCACATCTGAGTAACATTATAAGAAAAAACACTCAATTCATTAAAAAAATTACGACTTTATGTCTCGGAGTTAGTTTCATCTATTCATGTCATCGATGAGAGTACCTAATGACATTCATTCGCTTATTTGATCGAATCCCAGCCATAGGAATCGCGTATAAATTGAAAGGGGTATATTCTAAGGGGAGATTAATTTTTGAAAAAGGAAGATTTCGGCTTTCTACTTTTCCATCTTGATACAAAAAAATGTGGGAATCTTCCAAAAAAAGAAAGCAATCAAAATCAAAATGATAACTCTATACAAAGATGTGTAGATCATGCAAAGAAGTAATTTTCAGACACAAACTTATATAGGTATTATAAAGAGTTCATCAAAATATATTTTAGGGGAGCTTTTTTCGTCTTATGTCACCTGTTGCAGTTTTGAAGTTACTTATAGTATGCCCAATAGGTATGAGATTTTATTTGTGATCCTTGATTTGATGAGGAATTTGAGAAAGTCAATCTCATTGATTATTGGGACAGAAAGGTTTTGGCTTTCAACTTCTCCATCTTCATACAAAACAATTGTGCGAGTCTTCCATAGACAAAACAATTGTGGGAATCTGCCATAGACAAAACCGTTCTTTTCCAGAAATTGATCTCTCCTAAAAATAAACCCCTTTCAATTCAAACATTGATTATTATATCACCCGGATTTCCATTTGAGCTCAAGTTAGACATTAACAATAGAGATCAAATTAACCACTTTTTTATTTTTGAGACTTCATAGTACCTGACCTCAACATTTGTTTCTACTTAAAATATATGTAGTAGAAACAAATCTATATAGACCGTTTGGCAAAACTTACTATCGGTCAGTTCAAATTTCAACACCTCATCACTAAGAACTTTCACTGAAAGCATACTGAAAGCTGATAAGGAATAACATATTTCCTACAACGTGACTAATTTAGAAAACTGGGGAAAATAGTTGGGATTTTCAGCCTCAGGTTTAATCATCTGTTATCTACTTTATATCATTCTGATAAAAGTATTGCAAAAATACCAATACCATGAAGTGATGATGATCAAAACACACCTGATTTTGAATATGGGTAACGTGATTTTTTCGCTGAAATTACATAAAACAAATATTGCCTATTACCTATTCCGGAAAAGAAAAAATGCTGCGATAAATATGTCAAAACCTGAAGTCTGCTGCGGCGGGGTTTGCGGTTCTCCTAGATATTTTCATATCTACGACACTTCTCAATGAAAATGGTTATCACGATCACAAGCTGATTGTCTGATATAACGGTTGGCACAGTATTTTTTTACCGAACCCCCATATTTGTTATTTATTCATCGACAATATGTAGATGAGATTTCAGATTACGTTAGATTTGCTGTTTGATAACTTTCACAAAAAGTGACGTAACGGTCAGTCCATATTGTTATGTCTATGCAGTCACGCGATTCGTGTGAATTTTTGTTAGCTGTCATCGGGATTTAAAAATTGACTACTCCAGAACTTTTTCAGAGATACCAAGGCTGCTAGATAGGAAGGGTTGTGTAATATCGAAAATTTCAGGTGTCATTTTCATTACGTCATTTAAACTGATACATAATTCAAATAAATCGATGGATGTAGCCGTTACTATGTGGTAGGAGATCACAATGAAAAGAGAAATGAAAATTTCTATGTTTTTTACCACTTTTATTTGTAACTAACGTTACTGCAGTTTCGTCCTATACGGACATTCTCAAACTTATACAAACTTATACTGTTTATTGTATAAGTTTTAGAGAATGTCTGTATAGGACGAAACTGCAATAACGTTAGTTACAAATAAAAGTGGTAAAAAACATAGGAATTTTTATTTCTCTTTTCATAATTCAAATAGTTTGTTTATTCAGTGGTTACAATCGAAATCAATCAAATGTGAACAAGTTTGGAGGTAAAAACTAGAAGAAGATGAAAAACACTAATACTTGTTTCTTTTTAGTATTTCTTTGTAAGGTGAAGTAACTCTAAGAGTGCTTTATTACTATCTACGGTACTTTCACGGTATCGACGAGATACCGGTCTTGCCCGACGCTACGGGGGATATTGAATGGGAAATGTTCCTAAATTTGGGTTATTACAGCAAATGCAAGTTTGAACATAATACAGTTGAGTTTTATTCATGAGTTTTTCAAATTCACTTCGGAAAGTATTCAAATTGATGTTTCAAATGTTGGGTTTTAATTTTTAAAGGGATTTGTTTCTAATTCACATATTTACAATAATACTCAGTTGT